TTGAAATAGATCTATACTAGTCTCCCTTTATTTATTTATCAGCACAAATAATAAAACACACACACACACATATATATGTATGAATTATTCTATTACATAATATTAGCTATGATATTATGATACTTTAGGAAATTTATTCTAATCAGTGTGCTAAATTAGAAGATATTAGAGATATTCACAATTATATTTCTGGAATTGGACCCTTTCGGAAAAATCCAGAACATTCTATTGGTGTTTTCTGTTGCTGTTCTGGCAGAGTCTGGTTATTTCCAAAATGTAATCTTCAAACTGGAAATATTTTGTGATAGCCCAGAAAATTGTTGCGAATTCCCAGAAAATAGCACATTAAATTTATACACAGCTAGATTCTATGGAATATTATAGTTTTATGAAGACTCTTAAATATACATATTTATTTAACTTAATAAGATAAACTAATAGTCCACTATGCATAAAGTTATGTTTTAGGGAGATCACTATATCTTTTATAATTTTCATTATGATTCTGAAATTTTGGCTTATTTTAAAATACAGCCAATAGTCAGACCTGGAAGCCATTTTTTACATTCTTTCATTGGGGTACTTGGAACTTTGACACTCCCCTTGAAAGAATAATCTGAAAAGGTTTATCGGAGATAAGTAATAACTGTGGTTATGAAAATTCTTATATTTGATACCTTATTGTTGTTTAGCCACAAATTTCTTAATTTCCGGAACCGTGATAAATGAGGAACATCTTTTAATCCACTGAAAGAGAAATTCATAACTTTAGTATGAAATGACCAGTTAAATATTGTTCTACAGTTACATAATACTCATGATTTAATATTATTAAACATACAGAAATATACCTTTTCATATTACAGCTTAATTACAGTAATTGGAACTAGAATTTTCACTGCTGAGTAATGAGGTCATAAAGCACAAAATCTTCTGATTTTGCCATTTAATCACAGCATTTCCAACAGTCCTAAATTATTGTAGTTATGTGTCATTGAACACATAACTACAACTTCCTGCTGGCATCCCTCTTAACTTTGCTTGTCAACAGGGTAGATCACAAACCATGACCATGTGATTGTAGGAGTGCTGCAGCAGCCAGAACTTCGAGGACTGTTTGTAAGTACTGGTCATTCAACTCTATCATATGTTTGAATGTTTGTTAACTGAGAACCACTTGTATTAACAATTGCAGACAGTAGATATGATGCAAAGAATACAGAGAAGACACTAAAAAATTCATCACCAGCATGAGTTGGATTCGTACCAGCTTTTCCACTTCCATCCTTGATTCCCTTTAATTTCTTTTAATAGAGACAAAAACATGACTTTGGATTTATTTTTCTAAAATGAAACCAGTTGAAACCGAAACTAAAAACTGCAGTTTCAAATATTGCTACTGTTTTGTCATAATCTAAAACAACTCTGTGATAGAAAAGGAAACAACTTTCTCAAGTTGACATAGTATCTAGAATAGATGATAACAAGTACATCTTTCATACAGATTGATATCACAATGGCCCAAATAATAATGTTTTATTTATTTTTGGCTTTCATGAATCTAGCCATAGGTTGGAGCATTGCAAGATTAACCAATTATGGTTTAGCCTACAGGTTATGATTTTGCAAGGTATGTAATCTTAAATCTTAAGATTATTATGAGACTTTGTCCATAAAAGTGACAAATAATAGCAGTAACACTTAAATTTAAATACAGCTTATAGCCCTCTCTAGAGCCCTCTCTAAGCAGTGTACAGAGTCAGCGTATTGCGTCCAACAATCTGGGTCCCATTTTACTGACCTCGAAGGTACAGAAGGCTGAGTCAACCTTGAATTGCTGAACAGCAGTCAGCCACCAGAAGCAACCTGCAATACTGCATTCTAACCACTGTGCCACCACAGCTCACAAGCTTTATGGGCTTGATTTAATTCTGGACAAACCAATCAAAAAGAGATACAATTTTTATACTGCATTTTGGTTATAATATATCTAATTTTGTATTGATAATACCACTTTAGTTTAAATGTCATGCTGTCATTTTATTTACAGAATGCAGAAGTACACACTGAAGTATACAAATATTTCTTCATTTTATTTGTTCTCTAAAACCATGAATTTACTTCTAAATGTTTTCATCTATTTATCTTCCAGGCTGTTCTTATTCCTTAAGTAATCTGGTTGCAAATCTCAAAACTATTTATTCTTGAGACATTTCACTCAAATCAGTGGCAAAAATCTGAAGAAACACATCTGAAGCTGACCCTAAAGGAATCTATTTTTTTTCTAGTAGAATTTCATTTTAGTCTTTGTTTTTTTAATGTTCATTTTCACACATGTTCAAATCTATTCTTTGCTTTAATACAACTAAGTTTCTTGAGCCTTGGGCATCCAGATGTAGAGATAAGGTTATCAGTTTCCTTGTGGTTAAATTTTATAGTACTTATAAAAAGAATCTTATAAAATCTTAAAAACAACTGATCATCTCATAGAGTAGTGATGACTAATCTTTTTACCATCGTGTGCCAAAAGCAGGGGGAGCGCAGAGGGTTGTGCATGGGCATGCCTACAGTCATAATGCTATGCGTATGACCCCCGTGCACATGCATGCACGACCCCCACCCTCCCCCCATTTTTGGGGGGCAATGGACCCATTTTTCATCCCCCAGGCTTCAGAGGCTTTCTAGGAGCCTGGGGAGGGCGAAAATGGCCTCCCCTGCCCCCCCCCCGAAGCAGTCTAGAGGCTATTCACTGTCCACTTCACTTCACAGTGATGGCTGTGGCTGATGGGCTTGGCTCTGGGCTCTCGCTCCTTCTGTCTGGGAGATGGAGTCCACGGAGGAGGATAACAGCCGTTTGGAGGCTATGGATCCACGCGCCTTCCATTTGCACCCACAACAGCAGTGTATGCCACTTCCTGCCACCTTTGGAGGCAATGGAGGTAACTGCTCCTCTTGGTGGGGTAGCCATGCTTGTATAGTCCTCGCCCCTGCCAAGGCAATGCCTCTTGTGCCTTAACAAATGGCTCCGCATGCCACCTATGGCACACATGCCATAGGTTCGCCATCACTGTCATAGACAGAACAGGGGAAGGAGGTGAGGAAGCAGAATGATTTCTTATTTATGATTCTTTATATCACATCAATTTTGGACATTTTCTAAATTCTGGTATTTAGACAATGCTAAAATAAATACTACTCCAATAAAATAAAGACTAAACAATCCATTTGATACCATACTTTGATTTCAACAAAATCTATTTGCTGCTGAAATAGTTACTGATCTTACAAGGTAAAATTTAATTACAGTAACAGCTACAAACAACTTACTTTTCACCAAGGTATAGATATATGACTTCTTTATCATTCTTGTAGCCACAAATTTTTAGTTGCTTTTCTAAAATCTGAAAATAAATTATGAAAAATAATAGAATATGAGAATCTAATTATACAAGAGATAGTTAAATGGCCATGCTGTTCAGAACAATCATTTTTGAGAATCCATTGTCTTTTGTTCCAAGCTAGATAGTTAAAGCATGCAGGTACCGAAACAGAGCTGAAACAGCCTGAGTGAATAGGACTGTATTAGTTTTTCCTTGAAGACATTGCACTTCTCTATCCAAAAAAATGCTTCTTCAGAGCTGAGGAAGCTTCTTGGATGTTTCGTATACAATTTTGTTGTATTTAAATACAATGACAATAAAGATTACACTTATAAGAAGCGAAACATCTTCAAGGAAAACCAAGGAAAGTCCAGTTGTCTCTTGCAAAAAGTACCTTTGAGACAGTCATGATCTAGATGACTGAGAATATCCATAGATATCTTGAGGGGGGCAAATCTGCTTTTCCAAGGACAAATTTAAGCTCTGCAGCTGCTATTGTTTTTAATATACTTTCTCCTGTGGGACAATGGAAAGAGCACACCCCCTCCCCAAGTTAAAGTTCTGCTTTAAGAAGCAAAGCCCCGCAGCAAACACTGTTTCCTACATTGGCCCCTTGATAAAGAAATAGAACCTCTTGGTGTTCATGTATCACCTTAATTCTATTTTACCTGATTTGCTGCCTACATCACAGTTTGGCTGAACATGGATAGCACACTTTCACAAAGGATTTTGAATGAACTCAAAGGCATCTTTTCTAATCATAACTGTTGAATAAACTGCAATTGGCTTGGTGTACACCTTGCAGGATTTCATCACCCTTGATTTACAAACCATAATTCCTATAATAATGTAAACTGAAACCAAATGTATCACATTATGTGCCAATCGCCAATACAGGAATAGGCTAAAAGATAGGCACACCCCCTTCCTCAAAACCTCCAAGGCATATATGTTGACTTAGAAGTCTGTCTCCAACTCCAACACAGGTTTCTTATTTTTTTAAAAGAAAGGGGGGGGGGGTTATAGGAGAAATGGCCCCTTGCCAAACTGCCCGAGAAGAAGCAGGATGGTGAAGAGACTCACCTCATTAGCAATTTGGTGTTCATCCAAACTGATACTTTCTTTACCCCCTCCTGGACCACACTGAAAAGCTTTTGAAGTCTGTCGGGCATTAACGGACCTTTTCGGCATTTTTATTTGGGAGAGGGGGCGCGTCGCTTCCCAGCCCGGTGAAAGAGGGCTAGGCCAGACGTGCCGGGCAGCGTCCCGCTGCTCTGGTCTCTACCTGTCCTGAGCTGGCAGGTCCTACAAAGTGGCCAACGCGCCGCGTGCCTGGAACGGTCGCTATGGCGACGGACAAGCGGCCTGCGCTGAAAACGGTCATTCTGAGGCGCCCTGAACTCAGCACTTAGATCAGATGGTGCAGCCGCGGAAGGACAAATTCCGAGAACCCAAACGTCACCGTCTCTAATCGATGGTCTAATCGAAAATCAGGGAGAGGTAGGCGGCTCCTCCTACTGAGCAGCAATGCAGGAATGTCTTTTGAGCATCTTTCATTACAGACATAGCTTCTGTCTGGCTTATAAAACCACTGGTTTTTACAAAGCCCATGGCTCATGTAGAATAAAAAACAAATCAAAATACAAGAACTGGGATGGGTTCACCTTACATATTCTCTGGTGTTTTACCAGTGTTCAAAATAGTCATATTGCACTAGATTTCCTAATAGTATAAATAGTTAACAAGTACTCAAACGACCATTGATCTCCTTATGGTCATCCATCTGGAACCTTTAATATGAATTCTTGCACTGAGCAGAGGATTGAACTGAATGCATGGAAGGCCCTTTCTCATACTATGATTTCATAAATGCATTGCTGG